TATCTTTTTGAAGTGTCAAGAGATGTCAAATAAAGAGTCTAAAAATAAATTACTGTATTCAAAGGTTCCTTGCAGGTGCAGTTCATACAGTTATGGAAAACCTTCTATGAAATGCTCAGTTCCTCCTCAAGCGAGGAGGGTTGCTTCCACTCACTTGCAGTTGTCGGTTTGTTTGAACTTATTTATTGTTTGTTTATTTATTTCGAATATTTAAAATGACTTTATGGTTTATACTATATCTCAAATCAGTTAAATAGCTCTTTAAGGCACGTTACTTTTGCAATTGGGTGAAGCCGAAAATGAACTGAGAGAAGGAGGAAAGCTTAAAAAAGGAAGGAATGAGGTAGATCAGAAGCGTGATTCGAAGTCGATTTTACAACAGAATGAAGAAAAGACCACTAAAAAATGGTTAGAATTTTTAAGTTTATTTTTAATGCGCACAGTGTTTTTATACTGAAAATATTGGGGATACAGCCTTAGAACAGTACTTAAAGGCCTCTTCGTTTTGTGTATTTTTTTACAGTAGTTGTTTGATTCTACATTTTATCCAGCTTTGAAGAAACGGCTCGGGTATTTTGGAAATTTTGTGTTTGGTAATAGTGTTCAATGTTGTCTAGAAAACATAGGGTTCGTTAGTGGCTCACTCTTAATTTTTTATAGGAGCCTGGAAGTTTTTTGTAATAGCTATGAAGCTTCTGTTTAGTCTTGAAAAGAGGCAAATATCTTGACAGGTGGTTAGCTTAAGAAAATAGATTAATCCTTATCTAAAATGCAGTATTACTTTGTAAGGGGTAGGTGAAAGTCGCATATCTTTACAGATAAATCGCTCGCAGCTTGCAGAACTGAGTTGTACGCCTTATGCTACCTGTCTTCAGTCTTATTTAATTGGTTCTAGTAATTTACTTTCTTTTGTTTTTTATAAACTGTGCTCGTCGCAGCGGCAAAGTCATATATCTTAAACGTATAATCTTTCTGGAAGAGAGGAAGTGGAATAAAGTCGACTTGAACATTGTTTTTGTTTTTTTCCAGTTGTGAGGGTGGAGAATGGAAGCTGACATGTGAACAGATTGTAGCGTCAGTGTTGACGGAACCGTCGCTTGTTGAATTCTTCGAGAAAAGGTATTGTTTGAACGAAAATAGCAATTTGAATTTGATTTACTTAGTATTTGAGGCTTTAAACAGAAGTAATGGTGGCAAAATAATTACACATGCCTCCCATATAAGGATGTCGTTAAGTCGCACTTCGTGTTTATCAACGGATGAAACTAAATTTAAGAAAATGGCTTTAGGTTTTCAAAAGATTTAGCTTTCTACAGGCGTTAAAAACTTCCCATTGGAAGTGCTTTAATTTATACAGCTTATTAACTCTCAAAATTTATTTTTTTTCAAAAAACAACAGGTACAATTTATGTGATTTGATCGGTTCTTATCGAAGCACCATATCTAGTAGTACGGAAGTTCAAGCGGTAGTCGTTGTATAGAACACTTCCACTTATTCACTTGCGCTTCTCACGGGTGCATTTAAAGATTTGCAAATACTTATGATGATTTTTATGACTACTTTTTAAAAGTGGAAATGTGTTTTCAATTACCAACTTTTTATGGCAATTTATTACTGAATGTTTTCTCATTTGGTCCATTTCACGCATAATTTGTTTTTGATTATCACTTATATGGAAGAAAGATTTATTTTTATTGTGGTATGAAAAAAGCATCTATTTTCATGCGTTAAACCAGTACTTCTGTAGACGTGTATTTTATCGTACAGGAGTTTTGAAATACAGGTTGTTACTGCTCATGAACGATGTGACTAATAAATTGAATCATCTGCTGTGATTTTATTTTTTGCTCTGTGATTGTATTGTATAATACTTTCTTCCGCCTCTCCTAAGTAAATCACGCATTCCTTGCCTCTGCAAAAAATGTTCAGCATTTCTTAATGTAGGTTTCTCACCAGTATTGCCTTGAATTTCAGATGTCTGTAAATAATTCGCCTGCAATGATATTGCTGTCGGTCATTAAAATGTTTTAAAAGGGTTATCTCGTTTTTTTTGCAGCGTGCAGCAGGCCGAAAAATTGATGTGAAACCGAGGCTTTCGGTAGTATTCGTCTCGAAGTGCAGTTCTCAACAAGAAGAGTTTTGGTAGGTAGAGATGAAATGAGGCAAGGATATGGAGGGATTTAATTTGATTTTTGGATAAAAAATCTTGATTTCTGCCATCGTGAAGGTGTCTAAACTGAAAGAGGAATATTTACTTTAAAAATCTTATTTTTCTTCTGAGTCGAACGGTGGAAAAGTTGAACGATCTTTATACTCAAGTATAGTACGACAACAAGAAAGAAAACATCCACTATACTTTGATGTGTTCCGCTGTTCTTCATGAGGTTCTGGCCAAAATTTTGACCAGTTTTCGATAATAAAGCAACTTTTTTGCTCAGGTGGGAGTCACTGTTTCAAGGAACTATAACTGTCTAAGCAGTCAACAGAGTAAAAATCTGATAAACCGAGGAAACGTTTCGAACGGTATCAGTACACTGCATATGAACATCTACTCAGCATTTCAAGTATTACTGTATTTTTTCCAGAAACCTTGGATTAACGATAGTCTTGAGATTTCAAGAAATGCTTCAATATAGACGAAGACGTTGTTTAATGTGAGAGTCATACTGTCTTTTTTTTCTGTAGGTAAAACGATGAAAGCTTGAGATTTACATTTGGAAACCGATCAGGATCGGTTTTGAATAAATCAGATCAAAAAGGATCACTTTTAAGGTTTTATGTGCATAGCAATTTGTCGAACTTGCATAGCAGCATAACTGTAAGGTAAATATTAATTGAGAGTCTGAAACTGCAAATGTCACGGTATCCTCTGAAGTTATTGCCCCGACGTCTAGTTTAGCATTGTCTCATGGAAGAAGTCAACGTTATATGTTCATCGATGTCATTTTGCAGCGTTTTATTATTCGTTATTGCAAATTCTACAGTGAAAGTTTACTTTTAAGCGTAGTGGTGAATCATTTCTGACTATAAGCTTTCAATATGATGAGCAATATTTTTTACCCAATTAACTGAATGTTTTGAAATTTCTCTACGTGAGTAAAGCTACCTAAACTATAAACACTTAAACTTTCTTGATCAAACGTTGGTTGCAATTTTAGGTTACTTCCTACTAGCCACACAACAGTTCCATTGAAAGGTAGATCATTTAAATTTTTGCTAAAGATTGCAAAGGTACTGAAGAAAAACAAACTTCCACAGTGCAAAAATTTAAAATTCCTGGTTTAGACGAAGTGACGGCTAACTTCGTTGGTGTTGCTACTTATCTACGGGATAGATGACGTGTTTTTGAAAACCTTCTCTACTTTTCTAATCACTTCCCCTCTTAGATCTCTCACAACAAAATCAAATAAACTTTTGACTTCAGAAAACTAGCCACTGCGTCACGATAAATTCTTGAGACCTCAGCCTTGTTTCGCAGGATATTTTAAGCTAAGATATCGATAGCCTTGGTGACTGCTTTCTTGCTAAGCCAAATTTTAGAGGAAAGCTATTTTTCATTACGCTAACCCGCTCTTCTTGTGAACAGATGTATTATATATTTTAAAATCCCAGGACTACGAAGGTACGCTCTAAGAAGTAGGATACTTGACACCAACAGGCCGTTTCTCACGTCGTATGCCAACAGAATATGAAATCCTGGTTTTTGCTCAAATATTTGAAATTTTATTTT